GGTCCTTTTATACAGTGCAGAAGGAAATTAAAAATTTCAAATACGTGTCACAAATGCTGCACTCTAGCAGCGGAAATGCTAAAAAAAAAAAAAAGGGTAGTCCTTCATATTATATATATATTTATATAAAACATATGGAAATTTGTTTTTACACAGATCTGTCTTTGTTTCAAATTTACAATGGATATCTAAAAAAAATTCTACACGGCAAATATTGCCAACAAAGTTACACCATTAATACTGATAAACGGAGGAGCCTATGCGGTGTTTCGATTATTAGGGAAAGAAAGTAGAATAAATAAACAGGAGCCTTGCTATAATTTTAAAAAGTGCCTTAACCTTTCTGCGTGCCCGCAATCCTGAATCCGCGCGGTCACCGGCCGTCCCAGTCCCTGCATCGCGCTGTGTTCGGCTCGTTCTTGGACCAGAAAGTTTACAGTAGAGGTTGAGAGAGAGAAAAATACCCACTGAAAAAGTGGAAATAAAATTCAAGACAAAACATAACAGAAGAGGCTGAAGCGAAGGAAGAAGAAGGAAATGGACGGGGTCAGAGGCAGAGGCCGGGCGGCCGCTCGCTTCGCGGCTCCTTCAATTTTCTGTTTAAAGACAAAGACGGACAGTGGCTTCCAAAATGCAACTTGTTCGCACAAAGATCCACCTGTGGTCCACGGAGGAGACTACGGAGGTGGGGAGGGAGATCCGGAGGGAGATCCGTCCCCTCCTGCTCCCCGAAAAAGACGGCTCTAAAGGGAGACTTGCACAGTCCAAGACATTCTTTCCAAAAAAAAAAAAAAAAATTAAAAAAAGATAAATACTCAACCAAAAAATAAAAGTATTTGATAATGATTGGTCTCACATGTTTGCCTTTCTTCTAAAAATCTCCCCCGACTTCTGCCCTTGGCCAGGAAGGAGGGGGACCTCAGCAGAATTTCCGTGTGGATGAGGAAGGCTTTCCCCGGCACAGCACCGTCTCAGCCGGGTTCAGCAGGATCAAAAACGTTTATTACCGATGGCTGCAGTCCGATCAGACCCACCACTACCATTTCTTAACATTTTTGAGGGAGTGGGGAAGGAGATGCCGACCACAGCGCTGTGTCTTTGCGTTGGGGATTCCTTGCCAAAAATTCAGGCTGGGGAGGGGTCGAACCCTTTTCTTCTGCTGACGGTTATACCTCGAGAATAAAGCAGTTTCTTGTGCCGGTCCAGGGTCCCTGTGACCCGCCTGCCTGCACCAGGAGGGCTTGCAGCAGCAGCCTCACATCACACAAGGCTTGATGTCTTGGTAGGTGACCTGCTGGTGGTAGTAGGAGCCCCCGCCGGCAGAGTGCATGGAAGAGGACGCCATGGCGTTGAAAGAGAAGACAAACTCCTTTCGGTCACACATGCTGGGCGACTGGGAGTGATATCTCGGGATGCCTGCAAGGCGAGGTGACAGGAGGGGTTGAGGGAGCAGAAAAGCCATCTCCCCACCGTGTTCCCGGAGTCTCGACATTCCCACCGTGCACCCCAGAAAAAAAAACCCAGAACACTTGCCATGGCCTCCCTCCCGGCAGTGCCTGCCTGTTGTGTGCCTATCCAGCCTTGGACACTGTGCATGGGCCCAGGGCTTCTAGAAGCCACAAGGGAAGTGGTGAGGGAGGCCAAGCTCTGCCTGAAGACTCCAGGAAGGGCCCCTGACTCCCATGGCGGCCACCATCAAGGCAGCCACCTCCCGACCTGAGGCTTGGATGTCTGTGTGGAAGGAGAGGCCAGCGCCAGGCCAGCAGCAGGGGTGAGAAGAGGCTTCTCCATAGGACAGGGCCAGGAGCGGGAGAGTCCCCCGTGGAGAGGCCGCTTAAGTCCTCCAGGCCTGGCTCCTGCCTCCCGCGGCTGCTGACAGCTGACCCTGGACAGGCCCTGGTGAAATCACTCCAGCTCTCTCTAGAGCTGGGCCTGCAAGCTGTTGGGAGGGCTGAGGCAGAATCAGGGGGCGAGGCTGCTGCGCCTCCCTTGGCAGATGCTTCTGCTTGTTGGGCCTGTTGGGATATCAGGGGTGCTGGAGGTGTGGGTATCTGAAAACTTGGATTCTAAGAAACAAGAAATCCCCATGGCCCGGCTTGCAGCTCTGATCCTCCTGGGCCTGGCCATGGCACTGCCCTGCCCCCGACACCACAAAATGCCAGTAGACTCAGCTGTGGCTCTGCCAGGCCTAGTCCCCCGACAGGCTTGGGCTGAGCCTCTCAGTGCTGGCCGGACGGCTTCGGCTTCGGCTTCGGCTTCGGCTTCGGGCCTAACTCTTCCGCTCTGCCCAACCCCAAGCAGAGGCAGCTCTCCAGGCAGCCTGAGAGCCACCACCAGGGAGGGAGGGTCATCTGGCCAGGGCTATGAGCCCTGGGTCCACACCAGCACCTTTCCAAGGTGTGAGGGGACTTAAGGGATGCAAAAGGACTTAGGGCACTGGGTCTGGGGCCTACCTGGTCAGGCTTGGGGCAGCCCGCAGCTGGAGTTGGAACAGAAAGAGAAACAGATTGTCCCAAACTAGGGTCAAGAGCGCTAGTGACTCTTCAAAGGGGGAAAGGTGGGGCCAAGAGGCATCCTGGGGAGCTGGTGCCTCCCCTCAGCCTTGGGATAGAGGGGATCGATCCCGGCTGGGTCTCGCTGCCACTCAGATTCGTCTTCCCGGGGACCAGGGCGCCCTCTGCTTCCCCACTCACCTTGCAGCTCGGCTGGGGCGTTGTGGCTGTTCTGGTGCAGATATGGCTGCTCCAGGGAGTGCGTGGAGAGGCTGCCGGACAAGGGGTTGGCCGCGGGGTTACAGGGGGACAGGGGCTGCTGCTTGATGTAGGAGGCGCCGCTGTTGAGCGCCGCAGAGGCGGAGGGCGGCCAGGCCGCTGCAGAGCCGGAGTATACGGCGTGCGGCTCCATGACCCCGCCGGCGCCTGTGGGCAGCAGCGGGGAGGCAGGCACCGAACTGTCGTGGTGCGGGTACTCGCCGGCCGCCGTGCCGCCGCAGCTGCCCATGTACGAGTGGCCGCCGTTGGAGGGCAGGTGGGGCACCGAGTGGCTGGGCAGGGCCATGCCGTCCACATTGCCGGGCAAGTGGCCGTTCATCATGCCCAGGCCGCCCTCCAGTGCCAGGCTGTTCGGAGGGCACGAGAGGCCGCCGGCCGAGCCCTGGAAGCCGTAGGTATCCGGGAGGTGGTTGAAGCCGAGACCGTTCATCATGCTGTACATGGGCTTGAGCGCCTGGCATTTCCTTCGGAAGCCGCGAGGCCGCCGGCGAAAGGAGCCCTCCTCGAACATGAACTCGCTGGCCGGGTCGATGGTCCAGTAGTGGCCCTTGCCGGGCCGCCCGAGGCCCTTGGGCAGCTTGATGAAGCACTCGTTGAGCGAGAGGTTGTGGCGCACGGAGTTCTTCCAGCCCTGGTAGGAGCCGCGGAAGAAGGGGAAGCGGCTCTGCAGGAACTGGTAGATCTCGCTGAGCGTCAGGCGCTTGGTCGGCGAGCTCTGGATGGCCATGACGATGAGCGCGATGTAGGAGTAGGGCGGCTTCTCAGGGCGCCGGATGCCGGCGTTCGTCTTCTTGGCCTTGGACGGGCCAGACGACGCGGGGTCCATGGCCGCGCCGCCTCCCCCGCCGCCACCGCCGCCGCCGTGCGGTGGCTGCTGCTTCTCGGGCGCGGAAGACATCGGGTGGCTGCTGCCGCCGCCGCCGCTGCCGCCGCTGCTCTGCGCCGCGGACGGGCCGGGAGGAGGAGGAGGAGGAGGAGGAAGAGGGCGAGGGGGGGGAGGAGGGCGAGGGGGAGGGGGCTGCGCTCGCGGGGCTGGCTGCACCTCTGCCGTCATCGGCGGCCACTTCTCCCGAGCGAGCCGCGGCGCGCCCGCCCCCGCGCTCCCGCCCGCCCTCCCGGAGGAGCTGCTGGATCCGCCGGCGGTTGGCTCAGAGCCCCTCTCTTCAACTCCCGCCTCCCCCACCTCTCTCCTCCCTCTTTCTCTCTCGCCCTCCCACTAGGAAAGGAGCTGAGGCCGAGGGCAGCCCGGGCGGAGGCCGTGAGGAAGCTACCCCCGCCGGTATTTTCTGGGGGGAGGCACTGCCTCCAGGGCTTACGGTCGTGCGCCCCCGCCGGGAGCAGCCCTTGGTCCCCAACGGCCGCAGCGCTCGGCTCCGAGATTCCGGCCGAGGCCGCCTTCCCTGCAACTCCGCTGGGCAGCGTCTAGCCGGCCGGCGCAAGACCCTCCCGGAGTTCCCTCCCTCTCTGCCCACTTGGGCCCCCGCGTTGGTGGGCGCTTAAAGAGCCCCCACTCTCGCCGCCCCGCGGCGGCCAGCGGAATCCGCCCCGCCTCCACCAACCTGGCGAGCAAGTGTTAAGGCGCCCTCCTCCCGCGGTTCGGCCCCGGAGCGCGCTGGCCCCCGCCTTCGCAGCCCCGGCGGCGCGGAGGGAAACGCGCCCTGGGCCGGGGCCTTCCCCGACGCGCACAGCCCGGTGGCTAATTGCAGGCGCGGCAGCCGCCAGGTCGTGACCATCGCTAGCACAGCCGGCTCGACTCCGGATCCCCGCGGCCGGCCGGCGTAAGTTGCCGCGAGGGACCGCCTACCCAGTCTCCCCGCCCCGGGAAGGACTGCGCCGCGCCCGGGATTTTTCGGACTCGCCCAGCGGCGCGCGAGCGGGCGGGCAGCCGCCGGGGCAGAGCACAGGCGGAAAACGAAAGCGCTGGACGAGTCGCGGCCGCTCTGTCTCGGGCGCCGCGGGCCTGATAGGGGCGAGTGAGAACCCGCTGGCCCAGCGGCGACACAAACCCCACAGGCTCCGGAACAAGCGGCGCGCTCAGTCACTCACCCGTACGCGCACACACTCGTGCTCTTGTGTACACATTAGCACACACATACATGTCTTGATGCACATGCAAACCCGGTAAATTACGCAAACAGATGTGCAAACACACACATGCGTGTGTGCACACTCAGCTGCAAAGGGCGCGCAGGCGTGCGCATCCACTAATGCGCTCGCTGACACAGAATAGGCCTACAGGAGCTTAGGTTCGCAGTCATTCCCACTCACTCATACACATGCCACACTCGGATCTGAATTCACTGATAGTTTGTTGGCTTCCCCCACCCCCAACACACACTGAAAACCCGCCTATTTGGCCCTGCGGGCCCCATTTTCAAAGCGCAGGTTCCGATTTCCCGAGAGATGGCAAAGGCCCTGGCAGGAAGTTTACAGGGTTTAACGTAAACAAGTTGTGGGGGATTCTTTAATAATAATAATAGAAAATTCCGCGTGCGCTGGGAGGGAGGGGGGGAGTTGGCCTAATGCCCCTGTGGGCTCGGCCTGCCGCCGCCGCGGGGGCCTCTGACATTGCGCACCAGGCCAGGTTTTTGAGAGCAGACAGCGCGGGCGGGGAGCACGGGCCAGGGCGGCCCTAGCGCGCCTGGCTGCCAGCCCTCAGGGTGCTCCCATGGAGGCCTGCCCTTGCTACCCCTAAGCGTTGCGGTGCGGGCTGGGGGCGGTGGAGCCAGGAAAGGTGGTGCGGAGAGCCGAGCGCAGGACCGCGCCGGAGTCACTTCTCAACGCGGTGCGCACAGACCCAGGTGAGTGCTGCTCTCGCAACGACAGCTGAGCGCGGGGCCCGGCCTCTCCCTCCAGGATCCCGGGTTGGGAAGAGTGGGGCGAGGGGTGTTTTCGAGGGTCAGCGCGAGGAGCCTAGAGGCCCAGCCCCGGTGCGAGCTGTGGCAAGAGGCGTGTGCCGGGCTCGCAGCACTGTCCGCAGAGCGTTCAAAGCCCACCCGCCTCTCGGGTTTCTCCGGACTCCCTGTCCCCCGCGAACTATCCCCCACCCCACCTTCCTTGCTCGGACGCCTTCATTTTTCGGCAGGAGACGCGTTGTCGCCTTCAGGGCGCCTGGCACGTCCGTGCGAGGAGCTGGGGGGCTCGCCAGCGCAGCCTGCCCGACTGTGGCTTTCTCGTCCCCGACAGCCGCACTCGCGGGAGAAGAGAGTCGCCTTTCCGGCGCTGCCCTTCCGCGGGCCTCTCTGGGTTTCCGCGCGCAGACAGCCTGGCACGCCCAGGGAAAGAGTGAGTGTGGGACGTGACTCGTGGCGTGTGATTGTGCATTAATGCAGGTAAATGCTTACTGGCAGACCCACTTCTACTTCACACAACCAGCTCAGCCACCGCGCAGACACGTTCGCACCGCCCACAGCCTCGAACACCCTTCCCAGCTACCCTCACACAGCTCGGGTGCCCCAACCCTCCGACCAACACACAGGCCTGCTCACCGGGGAGGGCACACCTTGGTTTAAGTGCATACCTCATGCACACCTACATGTTTTGCACTGTGCGTTCGCCCACGCATAGCCAGGCCAGTGCACACACAATCATATGTACTACCGCCCCACGCGTGCGCATGCGTCCACGCACACAGGTCCACGCACACGCGCATTCTCACATTCCCTTTTCTCCACATTTTTTTTTTTTTTTTTTTTTTTTTTTAGCAAATGGCAGTTGCAGATGGGGAGACCCTGGCCTCTGGAGGAAAGTTCTGTTCCCAGGAAGGGGTGGCTACTGCCGACCGCCAGAGCATATCTGGCCTTTAGTAGAGAAGTGAGCAGGGAAGGCTGCCCAGCTCTTAAGCCAGCAAGGGGTGCAGGGCGCACCCTGCGGCTGGGTTCTCTGAATGTGGAAATAATATCTCCCTTCCGCTCGCCCCTCCCCCACTCATGTTGTGTGATCAGAGTGAGGGGGTCTCCAGAGCTTGAAGTTGGGGAGCCCTTTCCCAGCATCCTTCTTCACTCTTAGGCCCTCTTCGGTTGGGAAAGGGAGGCAGCAGGTCCCATCTTTGGCTAACCCGGAGATCCATTTTTCCACCCTCCTTTCTGCCCTTTCACCGGCTCTGACAGCAAACCAAACCTCACAGGACAGCAAGTCCTGAAGCCCAGGGAAAGAGCAGGCCCAGTAGCCCAGGAAGTCTTGGTAATGCCAAAAGTGGAGGCTCTCCCCAACTGCTGCTGTCTACTGGGGGTGTGTGTGGAAGTTGGGGCATGAGAGAGGAGATGAATGAGCTTCCAGCTCTGTAATTTGGAGGGAACCCCCTGAATTCTGGGGAAAATCACAGCTGTAGCAAGAAGGGCTTTCCTTCATACCCAGAGAAGGCATTCTCAGCTCTTAAAATGTCCCTGAGAGGTCTCCCTTAATCCCTTAATCCTACATTTTTAGGGTGGGGAGATGGAGGCCCAGCATGGACGTGGCTTGCATCAGCCAGCGCTGAGAGGTGAACATCTCTCCATCTCTCCTCTCTACTCCGAAGGACAAAATACCCTGGCATTTCACTCTCCCAGGTGCCTCCGTATGGGCTGGGAGTAGAGAGAGCGGGGCTTAAGAATGCCTCTGCCGTTACCACACCACACAGCCCAGGCTTCCCAGGGCAGAGGGCCAGAGAGGCCCATTGGAGAACCGATGGTGATAAAATAGCAACGACAACTACAAATACTGTGATCATAACAGGATCATCTCCTGCAGCCCAGACACCGGGCTCTGCTCCTCACTTGATGAACTGCCCTTGTCTGCGCCTAACCTTTCTCTTGGCTGTCAATCCTTTGAGAACTAGTCCCACCTGACCTCACCCCCAGAAGGTACATATCTGTGACATTTGTAGAATGGTTTTGAAGTTTTCACCAAATGCCTGGAGCCCATCTGTGAACCTGTGATGCACTAACCATGAACACAGGACCCTGATTAAATGTCCTAAAGAGACTAGTTTAATATTCGCCGACGCCCCTACCAAGTGATTATAATTTCCCTCCTCATTCACAGACGGAGCTGGGTGAGGGCACTCCAGGTCCTAGGTCACCCTGTAGAGCCAGTATTCAAACCTGGCCTGATGGCAGAACCAGGGCGTTAGGTGTCCTGACCATCGGGCGAAGCCCCGCTGCGCTCAGGGCAGAGGGGCCCCTCTACCGGGAACCACAAAGTCAGGGGTATTTGAACTGTCCCCACGACACAGGGATGACGCGAATCTCCCTGTGCCTTGGTTTCTTTATCTGAAAAATGGAACTAATGATGGTTCCTATTTCTTAGGGTGGTAGAGAGGGTGGACAAGCCCAGGCAGGGACAGTTTAGGTTGTTAAAACAGAAGCAAACACCCCAGGGGCTCCGCTCCAGGGACGGAGGAGAAAATGCAGAAAGGACAGAGATCGCGGGCAGCCTTTTGCTCTTGGATTAAAATCCACGAAGATCAGCCCCCTCCCACCCCAAACCAAATCTGCGCCCCAGCTCCGGCTCCAGGAATCCCGAAATTGGCGGAGTGGGGTGGGGGTGGGGGTGTAAAAACAGGCGCGTCTGCGAGGTCTCCCACTCCCCAGGCCTAAGGTATTTTTACTGGCTAATTGCTTAAGTGAAGCCGCCGGGGCCGAGAGCGCGCCGTAACCCGAGCGGGGAACCAGATCCTGCTCCCAACCAGCCTGGGCCGGCCACGCGGGCGGGGCTGGGGGCCGCCGAGACCACCCACCGCGAGGGCAGCCGCCCCGCCGGCCGCCGCCACTCCTGCTCGGCAATAACGCTGGGCCCGCGCCCCCTGGCCCCTGCTTCCTCCAACTCCCTTCGAGGTGAGGTTCAAACGACGCCTCCAGGTAGGGCGGCCAGCCGGGACCCGCCGCGGGCGCTAAACGGGAGGGAAGCGGCCCGTCCTGGGGGCTTTGGAAGGAAGGGAAGGAGGATCCAGCAAGGGTAAAGGAAACTTCAAGCCCGGCGGAGGGGCATGGGAGGGATATTTGTGGGTGAAAATGCAGCCCTGGGGGCTAGGGGACGGTGGGGAAACATCAGGTCCAGCGGATGGATTATAAGATGATCTGTGTGCAGGTACCTGAGCGACCTCTTGCACACTCTAGATGTGCACACGTCATGCTGCTGGCCGGTCCTGTGGGTAGAAGAGTGTGAGGTGGGCATCCAGTGTGAGCGGCTGGGCACACAGAACAGCGAGAAGTGTGCACATACATCAGTCTCTGTGCAGGACATTCCGGGAGGATGTCAGTACCATGTGGTGGTTTCACGTGTAATGAACATTTTAAGATGTGAGCAATATAACTTGGTATGGAATCCAAATATCTGAGTACAAAATGAGGCACTTTCCACAGAATATGAGGAAATGTGTGCACAGCATAATAGTATTATGTACACAGACTCCTTCAGATGTGTGCAGGATAGCATGCTACACACACGTTACATGTTACTCTGGGGGGTGTGGACCACATAACTCACTCCAGACACGGAGTATGGAAGGTTCTGTGAGCATAGAACCTAGGGTATACGTCGACTGCGCGTGTCCTGCAGTGGGTTGTATGCACGGTGCATTTAAAAATGTATACAGTGCAGTGCCTGAGGGAACGGCACTCCACGGGAGACTCGTGGATGCCAAATGAATTCTGGCTGCAGCAAATTGCAAGGACAGGGTCCACGTGGTGACCAGTACTGTCCCCACCCAAGCACCAGGCCATGTTTGTACAGGAGTGCATGGCTGCGTGAAGGGAAGACTGTCCCGAGGTTACCATGCCGCCTGACACGTGACTGTCGTAGTAAGAATGCAGTAATGCAGTAACTGCACAGCGAATGTTTTGTTTTCGGACGTCTGCCTGTGTGCCCTGGCTAGGCGCCTCAAGGTCATCTCAGCTCACAAAATCCCACCACAATGCTGTAAGGAAGATTCTCTTTTTGATCTCAGGTTCCAGGGAAGCAAAATGACACTCCTACTTTATTTTTGTAGCCATCAAGTGACATTTACCTGCTTTGTGGCTCTGGGAGGGGAGTGCCGGTGGCGGCTGGTGTGGTGTGGAGATGCTGGGAAGGGGTGTGTTGGGTTCCCAGTGGGCCTGTAGGAGGCTGTGTGCTCAGGACATGGAGCCTCCTATCTGCAGTGGGCAGAGGGAAGACACAGGGGCCCGAGAGATGTGCAGAACTGGCAGCAGAAGAGGCCCGGAATCCTGGGGTCCCCCATGCCTGCAAGCTCCTGGCTTGAGCCACACATTTTGGCATACTGTCTTCACTTGTACCTGCTTCTGCCTGATCAAAACCAAACCAAGGTAGTCACTCAGTAGCAAGTAGCAAGCCAGGCTCGGGGCTCCTCCCCAGACTCTTCATGGGGGTACCCCAAGGTGAGGAGGAGAGAAAGGCAGCACCCTCTGGCCTGCCCAGCCCTGCCACACCCTCTTAGCACAGATGGGGCTGGGAACCCAACTGTGGGGACCATCAGGGTCAAGTTTGGGAGCAGCTGTGATGAGGGTGATCCCTGGCCCCAACCTCTGGCAATGAATCTCCTCTCAGCTGTACGGTACAGAGAGGTTCATAGTTTGGTTAAGAAAAAAAAAAAAAAGCAATAAAAAATAAAAAGAAAAAAGTGCTTGTGCTGCGGCTGGAGCTTGCCCCCTTCCACCGGCCCTTTTACCCAAAAGCACACATTTTCCATGACGTTCTTCAATGAAATATTTGACAACAGTGCAGCTCAGGAATCTCCAGCCCTCTTCCCGGTGGGGTTTTCAGGAGATTTCTTGCAGCCGCAGTACATATGGCTCTCAGAAACAGAAAGTGCCTGAGACAGTGA